GAGGCCCGGGGAGTGGAGACTTCACCCTGAGGTGGTGGAGCTCCTTTGGAGACATTTCGGTCGTGCCGAAGTGGACCTTTTTGCATCCAGGGAAACTTCACACTGCCCGCTGTGGTTTTCCCTGAGCCCACCAGCTCCATTGGGGCTGGATGCGATGGTACAGGAGTGGCCGAGGTCACCCCTGTATGCATTTCCCCCGATTGCTCTGCTCCCAGGGGTTCTGGAGAGGGTTCGCCGGGAAGGGGTCAGCTTACAGCTGGTAGCCCCGTATTGGCTGGCCCGAGTATGGTTTGCGGACCTGATTTCTCTTCTCGAGGGTCCTCCTCTGGAGATTCCGGTCAGGAGGCACCTTCTGTCTCAAGCATGCGGGGCGATATTTCACCCCCGCCCAGATCTGTGGAGGTTGTGGGCTTGGCCTCTGAGGTGGCCCAGCTCATAGAATCAGGTCTCTCGACTGAGGTCGTGGAGACCATCCTGCAGTCCAGGGGCCTCATGTATAAACGTTGCGTACGCACAAAATGGGGATAGAAATATGCGTACACATTTTTCCACGCACACATCGGGATTTATAAAAAATAAACTTGGCGTAAATAAGTGCGCACCGTAAGGATGCTCTTGACCGTGCGTACGCACTCTTTTAGAAGATTATGGGGTTTGGCGACACCGATGGTGAGCTGGAGTCAAATGTCTTTTTGCTTACTATTAGACAGAGAATCTAAAGAAAATTATACATCTACAGAAAGATAATACAAATATAATTTCACAAACCTATCATCACTTGAAGCAAACATCCATCCCTTCTTAAATGACCGTGCCAGCACACGCGTTGGGCCGTTTGGTGAAACTAACTGACGCACATATAATATAGCCTATAATCTAACGGCAGATGGAGTAAAACCGTAAATCTTCATTATGAGTCCAAATCATAAATACAGTCCATATTCACAATAACAGTTTAAATAAATAATAAAATGGTTTAAACTATGTTTTACTTCTGATATAAACATTTAGATTAAATATGCCATTCTCATTAATGGAGTTAAACTCTTAAACTAGATGCAATCATTACTGAGAAGTTACAATATATACAGTATATATATATATATATATATATATATATATATATATATATATATATATATATATATATATATATATATATATTCAATAAATAGAAATATACCTATTTGTTGTGGATGCATTGCTTTTGAACACTTTTCTTCTGGCATGTGTTTTAATGTTTTAACTAGAGATTGTCTGAGAAAACTGTTTCGTGCAAATAATGCACAACCATGTCTATCTCTTTCCATTAAAATATAAATCAATTAAAAATACTATTTGGCCAGTGGAAAAGATTGAGAAAAACTTTCTCTGAAATGTATTTAACACTATTTGATTTATTCATTCAAAAACAAGGCAAGGATATAGGCTACTAAAAAAAAAAAATGTTTGTAATAATGTGACGGCACATCCGCATTTCATAATTTCCTAACGTCTTGTACCGTTAAACTTGGTATCACGTGGATGAATAATCATATGCAAATGATATGCAGATGAGGATATGCATATTTAAACTAGGCGTTGTAATCTCCACATATGGTTATTTCGGGGAGGAGACGCACGTGCGCATAATCTCCCGCTGACTGGGATTTATAAAGTGAATTCTGCGCAGGTTCTGGCATACGAACAGTTTTATAAATCTGAAAACTTTTGTGCGTACGCAAATTCTGCCTTTTGTGCGTACGCACACTTTAAGGATGAAATCTACGCAAAGTTTTATACATGAGGCCCCAGAGCTCCGTCCACGAAGAAATTATATGCCTTGAGGTGGAAAATGTTCACCTCTTGGTGTGGAGAACGTGAGTTGGACCCAGTTAACTGCCTGTTGTCGGCAGTGCTGGAGTTCCTTCAGGAGCGTTTCTCCACGGGGTTATCCCACTCCACACTGAAGGTGTATGTGGCGGCCTTATCCGCCTACCACGTCCCTTTGAGTGGAGCTTCTCTCGGGAGACATCCTCCTGTAATTCGTTTCCTTCGTTGTAATTGTAATTCGGACAACATCTCCAAGACGTTACGCACCAGATGACTAGTAAGTCAAAGTCCAAATCACAGCCTTTGCGGTCCAAACTTAACTAATATGCATAGTGTGGAACATTAAGTCAAGTCAAGTCATGTCAAGTCAAGTCACATTTATTTATATAGCGCTTTTCACAATACAGATTGTATCAAAGTAGCTTCACAGTGATAACATGAAAGTAGTACAACACAGATCAATAATATTGTTAAATATTAAATATTAAATAACCCCGACTAAGCAAGCCAAAAGCAAGGCGACAGTGGCAAGGAACCAAAACTCCATCAGATTGGATGGAGAAAAACCTTGGGAGAACCCAGGCTCAGTCGGGGGCCAGTTCTCCTCTGGCTTACATTCATATTGTTTATATATAAATATTAAATATAAATATTGTTTATATATAAAACGGCGCCATAACATATCGCCGGCGTTGAGTCGTCTCTTCACAGGCGCTGGTCTTCTCATCACAGGCGTTGGGGCATCCGAAATCCCCGTGAGAGGCTGGATACTGGACCTGACGAACGCCATTTTTCTCGGGACAAGCGTCCCGAGATAACAGCAGAAAGGCAGATGGGAGATAATTAGCATAGCTGATGTTCATAATGATTTCCAGTATACGGGAGTCGGTGTTAGAAAACCACTATCTCACAAACTCACCGCAACCCAACCATACGCGTCGACCCGTGTGACTAAGGCTGTCGAGCCCCACTGTCTCGGAAATGCGTGTCAGTGGCAAACGGTTCCGTATGGCATAAGCATTATGTGAATGCTTGACTAAAGAGATGCGTCTTTAATCTAGTTTTAAACTGTGTCAGCGAGTCAGAGCCTCGGACCGTATCAGGAAGGCTATTCCGGAGTTTTGGAGCTAAATGCGAGAATGCCCTCCCTCCTTTAGATATCCTAGGAATGACCAGAAGCCAGAAGAATTTAGTGATCTTAAGGAACGCGGTGGATTGTAGGGCGAAAGAAGGTCCGTTAAGTACATAGGAGCTAAACCATTTAGGGCTTTATAGGTCAGTACTAGTACTTTGAATTTGATACGGAACTTAATAGGTAACCAGTGTAGAGATGATAAAATCAGTGTTATTTGATCATATTTTCTTGACCTTGTAAGAACTCTAGCAGCTGCATTTTGTACTAACTGTAGCTTGTTTATTGACGATGCAGGGCAACCGGCTAATAAAGCATTACAGTAGTCTAGTCTCGAGGTCATGAATGCATGAACTAACTTTTCTGCATCAAAAACAGATACCATGTTACGTAGCTTAGCAATGTTTCTAAGGTGGAAAAAGGCTGTTCTTGTAACATATGAAATATAATTTTCGAAAGACAAATTGCGGCCTAGTACCCAGCAAACATGCCAGTGCGGGCCCACTGTGGGTAAGTGTGGGTTTTCTGTGGGACAGTGTGGGCAAGGGCAAACCCTTTGGGGCCCCATGTGGGCTTGCTGAGGGCAAGCCCACAGTGGGCTTTCCCACAGAAACCCCTCAAGGGCCCCTAGTGGGTTAGCCCATGTGGGGCCCATAGCAGTTTTGCCCAATTGGGCCCCCATGAGGGTTTACTGTGGGCAACCCACTGTGGGTTTGCCCACAGAAAACCCACAAGGGCCCCCAGTGGGTAAGCCCATGCGGGGCCCATAGCAGATTTGCCCATTTGGGCCCCCATGAGGGTTTACTGTGGGCAACCCACTGTGGGTTTGCCCACAGAAAACCCACACGGGCCCCCAGTGGGTAAGCCCATGCGGGGCCCATAGCAGATTTGCCCATTTGGGCCCCCATGAGGGTTTACTGTGGGCAACCCACTCTGGGTTTGCCCACAGAAAACCCACACGGGCCCCCAGTGGGTTAGCCCATGCGGGGCCCATAGCAGTTTTGCCCATTTGGGCCCCCATGGGGGTTTACTGTGGGCAACCCACTGTGGGTTTGCCCACAGAAAACCCACACGGGCCCCCAGTGGGTTAGCCCATGCGGGGCCCATAGCAGTTTGCCCATTTGGGCCCCCATGAGGGTTTACTGTGGGCAACCCACTGTGGGTTTGCCCACAGAAAATCCACACAGGCTCGCAGTGGGTTAGCCTACGCGGGGCCCATAGCAGTTTTGCCCATTTGGGCCCCCATGAGGGTTTACTGTGGGCAACCCACTGTGGGTTTGCCCACAGAAAACCCACATGGGGCCCCAGGCAGTTAGCCCATGCGAAGTTAAGTTGTTTAACAGTCAAAAGTTTTAACATTAGAAGGTTTAATATTAGAAGCTTAATCAAACTATTTAACGATCCTGTGAAATGTCAGTCCATAATTAACTAAAACTGCATATAATGGATTATGAGCATTTGCATTTAAAAACAAATTTTTGACTTATAAGGAATTTAAAAAAAAATATAGATGTAACTATATATTGTAATGCAGTAGGTCTTAATGAGTCTTTATGAATATATTTATACAATAATAATATTGCTCATAAATAAGTATAAATGGTGCTATAATTCATTATAAGTATGGACTGCACAGAAAGTGTTACCATATTTATGAAATAAAATTAACTTATTTGTCACAATAAAAACAATATCCTACAATGGTTTACTGATTTGTTTTGGTATTAATCAGTGATGCATATTTATCATAATAAAATTATATATTATTGATACTAATAAATAGGCCTACATCACTGATGTAACGACTGAGCCCAATCAAACACAAACGAAACTGCGACGTCACTGGGCGTAATTTCATTACCAACTTTCATAAAGCATTTTAGTGCTTTCATATTCTAATGAAAAAAATAATATTACATGGGTCATAGAACTACACAATGATTTTTAAATTCATGATATAAAATGAATGATATTTTAAATTGTTACATGTTATAATTCTAGATGTTTAAATGCTGCGTGCCTTTTGAATTGTTATGGTTTCAACGTGTGTGCGAGTCGCATTCAAAGTTGTCCGATTCAAAGACAGGAGCGCACGCGAGCAGATGGAAACCATGGAAACGAGGAAACCTCTTCAACTGACAAACAGCAAAGAACAGCGTCTCTCTGTTTTTCCACTGCTTTCAGGTAAGTTTAGTTAACAAAATCACACAAATAATACATACAAACGTTCCTAACACCTTTCTTACGTATAATTGATACGCTTCTGTTGAATATTTACTTTGTAGAAAAGGTTTTGAGTCTTCGAAAAAGTCCGTTAGCATCTCAACTGTTTTCAGAATAGGTAACGTTAAGTTAAGTTAACGTTAGCTCTTGTTTTACATAAGTTTGGGGTTTTAACCACATCTTTGTGTTGATAACAGTTTTTGATAGTTTTGTTTTGCTGGTAATTTGTCAATGGGTTATTGGAAATTAGCTAATTGCTAGCTAGCCTGAAAGAATTCTCACGGTAACGTACTGTTGATCAGTGACGTCACTTACAAAGATTGATAATAAAAGTGATTTCAGAAGGGACAGAAAAAAAACCTCCACAACAAAGGGGTAATTATTGTTTCATGATAATAATTTCATATGCATTTATTGCACAATATATTACGTTAAGATTTTATATTCTTTTTCTCTTTTCTGCATTGGATATCTAGCTTGATTCATTGTAATAAACCCTTTGTTCTATTGCAAATGCTATGTAACATTGTTGGCTCTGTGACACATTGCATGTTATATTCTAGTCTAGAAAATCATCATGATGTCCTGCTACAGCCCTGTCCCAAGACAACCTCCACGGCTATGAACTCGACTAGTAAGCAAAACTTCAAACATACTGTTCAAAAGTTTGGGGTCTGTAGGATTTATGCTTTTTAATGAAGTCTCACACTCATTAACCCCAGTTTTTTTTCAGTGATATTGTCCTTGAGAAGCATGTAGGCTAAATAATAGCTGGCAAAATAATATAATGTTATAATGGTCATAAGTTATTATAATTAATTGAACTATTATGAAAACAGGATATCATGGTCATTGGTATATTCTCTAGGTGTGTTTTTAATTATGTTGGCCAATGAGACACCATACTGTCCAGCGCTAAGGTATTTATTTATTTTCCTGTATTTTTTTAATGATAAACACTAAAGTTCTTTTAACTTTTAAATGCTGAATTCAGGGGGTCAGCAACTTTAGTTATTTTTCACAGATATCTGGCCAGTTTACTCATGGCTCATATTCTTAGCCTTCAAATGTTTGAATTTAAATCCACAATGCAATATCAGGGGGTAAAGATATCATTAGAGTTTCTAAAGTTACTATGCTCTTGTTACCAGATGAGATATCATTTGACCCTGTGATTCTTCAGGACCAGATCTTGATGCCATCCACACCCAGTACATGACAAAGGTGAGTTTCACAATAGCTGCCACTACCACAAACCAAGAGACCAAACACAACAGGCCTTCATCCATATGAACTCACCCATACGTTGAGATAGTAACCAAAACCCGGTATTAAACATTAAACGGGCCCTGGGGCCAAATTAAAGGACAACTCCGGTCAATTTTAACATTGAGCTAATTTTTTTTTACATTTGGAGTGCTGTCAGTACAGACAAAAATCGGTGTTGCCTACACTGTGTTATCATCTTTTTAAAATTCGCACCCTGCTGACTTCAATGGGGCATGGTCTAAACCTGCTTTTAGCCTCTTAACATCCTTTATTTGTCATTACGAGTGTACAGCCATGTGAGTGGTGTTATTAAGAGTGACCACGGTCAATCTGACTGCAGTAGATATGAAAGATATTAATAAAAATGATGTTAATTCAGCCAGCGCACATACCTCTATTTGCTTCCTGTTTTCTGTCGAAGCCCACAGTGGTCGATTGTCGATCTCACACGTGAGTTCATTTATATCATCTCAAACCTACCACTGTGTGGTGTTCTGAGAATATCAGCTCAAATGGATAGTTCATCCGAATCAGTTGTTGAACACACAGAGGTTTGAGATGATATTCACTTATGATCGCGCGCGTGAACTCGACAATCGACTACTGTGGGCTTCGCCCGAAAACAGGAAGCAAATAGAGGTATGTGCACTGGCTGAATTAACATCATTTTTATTAATATCTTTCATTTATATTAACCGTGGTCACTCTTAATAACACCACTCACATAGCTGTACACTTGTAAGACAAATCATTACGAGTACAAAAAAAATAATTACAAGCTTTTTTTAAGGAAGACCGCAGTATCGATAAGCCCAGGTGTTATCAGTTCTGTCTTGCAAATTCTGTGAGGATTAGGAGGGGTATTTTAAACAGTCTTCATACAACATGTTTTTCTGGCTGGTGGTTGTTTGTAATTTTAAATTTAAATTTTAATAAGTAGGGAGAAAATAAAAACCTTTATTAAACAATTGTAAATTATTTATAACTGAATCTACAAAACATACAATAATTAACATCACTTATAAACGTTTATGAAACGCATAATCATGTTTCATAAAAAATTTTAATCATTCATTTACTAATGACTTGTAAATGACTTGTAACAGAATTGACAAAACATACATAAAATGTTAGTATATCACTTGCTAATCATTTATGAATGTTTTGTAAAAGCTTAGTTCATCATTAACCAACCAAAATGACTTACAACTAAATGTTATTATAAACGCAGCTCTCTCATTGACCTATTCAGTCATTCTCTTAGTTGAGCATTTATAAATAGCACCTGGAACAATCAGAAGACGTTTCCTCATTCAAAGTGCAGGTTGAAAACTTTCTTAGGTTGAAATGGTTCAACAGTACAACCCTTATTTTGTTTTTAACATTTGTATTTCAATTGTTCCTTTCTCACTTAGATGCTGTGACAAAAAGCAGTCAAGCCACTGCATGTGATGTGGAAGCCTCTATGAAGACATGGCTCCATAATCCCTGGGACAGAGATGGGGCAAGGAAGGGCCAGAACTGCAGAAATACCTACTGTTGCCCCTGAGGGGATTGATTTTTAATTTTCAATCCCCTGTTTTCTGTGGTTATTGCTGTTTTAAACTGTATTATCATTAATTATAATTATTATTAAATATAAATAAATTATTTGGGGAAAAAACATGACCCTCGATTTATTGCTGCTAACAAGTCCAATTGTACTGCATATAGTAATATGGGTGTACCTACTCTGTGTGCTCAAATTTTGCAACTGCACCCACAGTGTGCCCACATCCAGCCTGCTATAATTTGTGTGGGCCAGCCCAAAGTCAGCCCACACTTTGGGCTGGCCCACGGTAAGTAGAGTGGGCCCCGATTGGAGCCAGTTGTGGGCCCACAGCAAACCCTTATAGGGGCCCATTTGGGGCCATTGCAGGCAGCCCACTGTGGGCCCACAACTGGCCCCAATGGGGGCCCACTCTACTTACCGTGGGCCTGCCCATAGTCAGCCCACACTTTTGGGCTGTCCCACTGGGGCCCCACCTGGGTCCCGAAGTGTGGGGCCCACACGAGCCCCGCATTTCACGCCGGTATCTGGGCCCACAGTGGGCTGCCCACAATGGCCCCACATGGGCCCCTATAAGGGTTTACCGTGGGCCCACAACTGGCCCCAATGGGGTCCACTCTACTTACTGTGGGCCTGCCCACAGTCAGCCCACACTTGTGGGCTGTCCCACTGGGGCCCCACCTGGGTCCCAAAGTGTGGGGCCCACACGTGCCCCGCATTTCACGCCGGTATCTGGGCCCACAGTGGGCTGCCCGCAATGGCCCCACATGGGCCCCTATAAGGGTTTACCGTGGGCCCACAACTGGCCCCAATGGGGTCCACTCTACTTACTGTGGGCCTGCCCACAGTCAGCCCACACTTGTGGGCTGTCCCACTGGGGCCCCACCTGGGTCCCGAAGTGTGGGGCCCACACGTGCCCCGCATTTCACGCCGGTATCTGGGCCCGCAGTGGGCTGCCCGCAAGGGCCCCATTCGGGCCCCAAAGAAGCTTGTTTGCTGGGTATAACACCCAGGTCTTTTACTGTAGTGGATAAAGTAACAGGACATCCGTCTACATTAAAGTTGTATTGTGAGAGGTTTTGTGAGTAGTTTTTTGGACCAATAAGTAATACCTCCGTTTTATCTGAATTTAATAGCAGGAAATTATGCGTCATCCAGCATTTTATATCTTTGAGACACTTTCAATTTAGATGAGTTAGTGTTTTCATCTGGTCGTGATGAAATATATAATTGAGTGTCGTCAGCATAACAGTGGAAGTTAATTCCGTGTTTTCTTATAATATTACCAAGTGGCAGCATATATATTGAGAATAGCAGAGGGCCTAAAACCGATCCTTGCGGGGCTCGACAGCCTCTTAGACAAACGGGTCGGCGCGTATGGTTGGGTTGCGGAGAGTTCGGGTTACGGAGAGTTTGTGAGTTATAACGGAAATTATTATGAACATCAGCTATGCTAATTATTTCCCATCTGCCTTTCTGCTGTTATCTCGGGACGCTTGTCCCGAGAAAAATGGCGTTCGTCAGGTCCAGTTTTGTGTCCAGCCTCTCACGGGGATTTCGGATGCCCCAACGCCTGTGATGAGACGACTCAACGCCTGTGATGAGACGACTCAACGCCTGTGATGAGACGACTCAACGCCTGCGATATGTTATGGCGCCGTTTGATTCATAAACAATATTTATATTTAATATTTATATTTAAACAATATGAATGTAAGCCAGAGGAGAACTGGCCCCCGACTGAGCCTGGGTTCTCCCAAGGTTTTTTCTCCATCCAATCTGATGGAGTTTGGTTCCTTGCCACTGTCGCCTTGCTTTTGGCTTGCTTTGAGCTTGCTCAGTTGGGGTTATTTATTTAGTGTTTAGCAATGTTGTTGATCTGTGTTGTGCTACTTACATGTTATCACTGTGAAGCTGCTTTGATACAATCTGTATTGTGAAAAGCGCTATATAAATAAATGTGACTTGACTTGACTTGACTTACTCCATAGTCTACAGACGTTATCTTTGATTTTTCCCCATTTAAACAGACAAAATGAGAACGGTCCGATAAGTACGATCTAAACCAGCTTAATGCCTGTCCAAGAACACCAGTGTAGTTTTGTAGTCGATCCAAGAGTATTTTATGATCTATAGTGTCCAACGCAGCGCTAAGATCAAGTAGAACTAGTATTGAGATTACAGCCTTGGTCAGAAGCTAAAAGTAAATCATTTGTAATTTTAACTAGCGCACCAGATAGAAACTGTGTCTATTCCTCGTTTAGTGAAGCCAAACAATAAATCTAGTGCAGGATCTAGCAAAAATCTTATTGTAATTAAACCAGAAAATCTAAATATTAGTGAACAAAAACAATTCCTAAAGCTAGGTCTTCTGAACGTTAGATCACTCACACCTAAGGCGGTTATTGTAAATGAAATGGTCACAGATAATAACTTCGATGTTCTGTGCCTTACTGAAACCTGGCTATACTGTTATAAACATGAGCCTCGTCTGATCGGTCGTGGCGGCGGTGTTGCAACAATTTTTTTTAATATTACTCAGAAAACAGGTCACAGGTTTAATTCATTTGAAGTACTTGTGCTAAATGTTACGCTCTTAGATGTAAGAAGGAAATCCATATTATCTCTAGCCTTGGCTACTGTATATAGACCTCCAGGGCCATATGCTGAATTCCTAAAAGAGTTCGCAGACTTTCTCTCGGATCTATTGGTGAATGTCGATAAAGCAATAATTGCTGGAGATTTTAACATACACGTAGATAATACAAATGATGCTTTAGGGGCTGCGTTTACAGACTTATTAAACTCCTTTGGGGTCAAACAAAACGTCAGTGGTCCCACTCATCGTCTAAATCATACACTAGATTTAATTATATCATATGGAACCATTCCAACTGATATAGATATTATACCGCAAAGCGATGATGTCACTGATCATTACATGGTGACTTGCATAATACATACTGCTGAAATATGTCATGTTGCGCCACGTTATAGACCAGGCAGAACAATCCTTCCAACCACTATAGATAGATTCTCAAATAGCTTACCTGATCTATCTAAGCTGCTAAGTGAACCCAAACAAACAGATGAATTAGAGGAAATGACTAGCAGTTTAAGCACCATTTTTACTTGTACATTAGATATTGTTGCACCAATTAGATTAAAAAAGGTTAGAGAGAAAACTAAAGCACCATGGTACAACAGTGCTATTCGGTTGTTAAGTCATGATGTAATCACGCTCTGATAATACTGTTTCCGGGTCCAAATGCTGGGTCCTCTCTATCTGCTTACCGCTTTTGCCCGAGTTTTAACATGCTGCAGTGCTGTGTCCATGTTGTTTAAATAGATCGGAGTTAAAAAAAACAAGTGACATTCAACTGTCATTCTACCGCTTTCCCTGTGACGAGAAAGAAAAGAGAAAATGGCTGCAGATGATAAGGTAAGTTACAATTCTTTCCTTTATCCCTAACACCCACTGGCGCTGAAGCGAAGCCAGTCCTTTAAGAAAAGGGCTTAGTCTAACGTTATGGGTTGTAACGTTAATTAGATATGGACGAGCGGAGCGCTTGGACCCGGAAGAGGCTAAACGTCACGCGTGATGTCAGACTTAACAACCGAATAGCATGCTATCAAGAGAGAAACTCGCAACTTGGAGCGTAAATGGAAACAAACTAATTTAGAGGTCTTTAGAATCGCGTGGAAAGACAGTATGTCACGTTATAAAAAGACACTAAAAACAGCCAGGGCTGAGCATCTCCGCAAACTAATCGAAAATGTCCAAAATAATCCAAGGTTTTTATTTAACACCGTGGCTAGACTAACAAATAAACAGACATCACCAGAGCAAAATATACCGTTACAATTTAGTAGTAATGATTTTATGAATTACTTCAATGAGAAAATAGAAAGCATCCGAAACACAATTATAAATGTACAATCCTCTATGGTGTCTTATGATTCAGCTTCAAATATGGCCCCTCTAGAACAACTACACCGCTTTACAACGATAGGACAGGAGGAGCTAAATAAACTTATCATTGCATCTAAACCAACAACATGTTTATTAGATCCAATACCCACTAAACTACTGAAAGAACTATTACCTGTAGTGGAAGAGCCTCTCCTCAATATTATTAACTCGTCTTTATCTTTAGGTCATGTTCTAAAAATATTCAAGCTGGCAGTAATAAAACCTCTCATTAAGAAAACGCAATTAGATCCAAATAACTTGGTAAATTATAGACCCATTTCAAATCTTCCATTTATGTCCAAAATACTAGAAAAAGTAGTGCCCGCTCAATTGTGCTCTTTTTTGCAAGAAAATGATATCTATGAAAAATTCCAGTCAGGATTCAGACCGTATCATAGTACAGAAACTGCACTAGTTAAAATTACAAATGATTTACTTTTAGCTTCTGACCGAAGGCTGTATCTCAATACTAGTCCTACTTGATCAAGGATCGGTTTTAGGCCCTCTGCTATTCTCAATATATATGCTGCCACTTGGTAATATTATAAGAAAACCTGGAATTAATTTCCACTGTTACGCTGACGACACTCAATTATATATTTCATCACAGCCAGATGAAAACACTAACTCATCTAAAATGACAGAGTGTCTCAAAGATATAAAATGCTGGATGACGCGTAATTTTCTGCTATTAAATTCAGATAAAACGGAGGTATTACTTATTGGTCCAAAAAACTACTCACAAAACCTCTTACAATACAACTTTAATATAGACGGATGTCCTGTTACTTTATCCACTACAGTAAAAGACCTGGGTGTTATACTAGACCGCAACTTGTCTTTCGAAAATCATATTTCATATGTTACAAGAACAGCCTTTTTCCACCTTAGAAACATTGCTAAGCTACGTAACATGCTATTTATTTCTGATGCAAAAAAAATTAGTTCACGCATTCATGACCTCGAGACTAGATTACTGTGATGCTTTATTAGCCGGTTGTCCTGCATCCTCAATAAACAAGCTACAGTTAGTACAAAATGCAGCTGCTAGTTCTTACTAGGTCAAGAAAATATGATCATATAACACCGATTTTATCATCTCTACACTGGTTACCTATTAAGTTCCGTATCAACTACAAAATACTACTACTAACCTATAAAGCCCTAAATGGTTTAGCTCCTATGTACTTAACGGACCTTCTTTCGCCCTACAATCCACCGCGTTCCTTAAGATCACTAAATTCAAGGCTTCTGGTTATTCCTAGGATATCGAAGTCCACTAAAGGAGGGAGGGCGTTCTCGCATTTAGCTCCAAAACTCTGGAATAGCCTTCCCGATACGGTCCGAGGCTCTGACTCACTGACACAGTTTAAAACTAGATTAAAGACGCATCTCTTTAGTCAAGCATTCACATAATGCTTAACTTTTAGTCCTCTGTTATGCCATACGGAACCGTTTGCCACTGAAACGCATTTCCGCGACAGTGGGGCTCGACAGCCTTAGTCAAACGGGTC